CTCTCTCTCTCTCTCTCTCTCTCTCTCTCTCTCTCTCTCTCTCTCTCTCTCTCTCTCTCTCTCTCTCTCTCTCTCTCTCTCTCTCTCTCTCTCTCTCTCTCTCTCTCTCTCTCTCTCTCTCTCTCTCTATGTTCTCCCTCTCTTTATGTCCTTTCTGTCTTTACGTTCTCTGTATTTAGTCTCTTTGTGGGTTTTGCCTTTCCGATATTTTTTGACATTCTGTCTGTCCTACCTGCCTTGTGTCTGTGCCTGACCCAGTGATTAAGCAGCCTGTCTTTCAAGATGGATGGACGCAACTGGATGCCTGTGCAGCTCACGGAAGTGTTTTACAGTTCATCTTCCTCTACGGTATCACGATTGTATTTGATTCTGGTTTCGTAGTTGGAGTGAGAAAGTAGGGTGGAGATTCTGATTGTCTGTCTTGACACTGCGAGACGTTGAGTTCAATGAAAGATTATTTGAGCAGGTGCTTTCATGAATGGTGACAAACAGCACCGACGTCACATCGACCGAAGAAGACTGCTTGGGTTTGCCATAGAAAGCAAGAATGAAGAAGTCGTCGAGGCCATTGTGAGACAAAAGATCGTCATGAGTAACGACGAAGACAGGGTCGACCTGTCAACGCTGGGCAGAGTGAGAAGTGACCTTACGTGTGTCAGAGTGCCTGTTGATACGTTTTCTCTCAGATCTGCAAGCTCTCTCTCAAACTTGATGTTGATGTCTTCCGCGAACTCTGGGACAACCTGGATGACATCACTCGATGGCCTTCTTACATCTCTCTGCCTTTCATTCACTTTGTCCAAAGTCACGCAACTTCGTACTCAAGGAACAATCGCTCGCCAAGTGGTCAAAGGGAAGTCATGATGAACTCACTGCTTGATGAGAAAAGCCTTCTCTACGTTGCTGTATCGAACAAGAACTTCATCAGCGTTGACAGTCTGCTCAGCTTCAAAGCATGTCCCAATACCGCTCATCAGGTCCAACTCGACAAAGAGTTAAGACGATGCGGTGTCCTCTCGGACATCACATCGTTCATGTTGAGAAATGTCATCAACTTACCTTGTTACAAACATCTCCCGCTTAGCCTTGCTTGTGAGACAGGACAGGCCTGTGTCGTGGACATGCTGATAGCGAGGGGAGCAGCACAGCTCAACGTGCTTAGTTCGCAGCCGCCTGGTGATCATGGTCGACATGACGTCAGTTTCCTTTACGAATCTCCTCTCTCCTCATCCATCACGGCCAAGAAGACATCTATCATATGGTCTCTTCTGCGAAAGAATGCTGACGTCACGATTGGGAGCTTCTTCGGCCTGCGAGCAGGCACAGACAAGTTCAGACTCGTTTACGTCTCAGCTCTTCATCTGCTCCTGCGCGTGGCACCGACAGCAGACAGACATTCGCCATCGTTCTCGTCGTCTCAATCTGAATGGAAGAAGCTTGCAAACCTTATGGCTGAACGGGTTGAGAGAGACGCCGATGTGATGTTGTACAGAGATGAAAACGAGGACAATGTCTTGTCCCTTTGCTGTAGAAAGCATTACGACGAGTGCGGATTGCAGGTACGAATTCAAGTCAATTGTTGATGTAGTGTCAGCGCAGTAATGATATGATGAGTTGATTTTGATTGCAGATAATCAGGAAACTCACACAAAACGAAGATCACCTTGGCAAACTTTGCAATGATCTACCAAATCTTTGCATAGCAGCTGTACGATGCGGGAACAAGACGTTGGTGAGGGAAATCTTCCGGCTCGTGTCATATCAGCAATCGAGGAGCTCTGGATCTCAGAAGCTTCCTGATGGCAGCGACGACTTGCTTTTCTTCTTTCAGCACCTCTCACCAATCAGCTCGGGCGGAAAGCAGCTTTATCATCACATGCTTGATCTCTCTTCGGGAAAGTCGTTCGTCTTGGCTGCTTTGGAGAGCAGGAAGTGGTCTTCCGTCCTTGAGATGTGTGAGTTCTTCCTGGAAAGCATTTTCGTGGTGAAGGTTTCGACGACCATGACAACAAGTTCAACATCGTTGTCGTCTTATCCCTCTGCTGTACGGGATCATCTTTGTATCACGGACGATTTCGTGTCAAGATGCTTCGGGGAGGCCCTGCTGCTCGCAAGAAACGTTTGCTCTGAGACGATGCAAAGCAGCTGCAAAGATCTCATCAGCGACATCGAGACGTCATTTGTCAAGGGACTCGACGAGGGCTGCCACGACGATCACCTCAGATACTTGTTTCAAGACGATTTGAACTTTGCAATGTTGGATCAAGACAGCAAAGTGGTGTTGAGTTGTATGTTTGCAGTGTCTGCCAAGGCGAAGAACTTGGACGAGAGGACTGTCCAAGAGCAAAGTGAGAGGGTTCGTGACAAGAAAGCGGCTCTTGAAACGAAGGCATCATCAGCTCAGTCGGTGTTTGGAAGTTTGTTGGAAGATGAGGAAGAAAGAAAAGAGACGAGTCAGAGACCAGCAGTGGCTGCAGATGGTGGCAAGGGGCAACGGGAGGGAGGAGCAACAAGGAGGGAGAGGGTGGATAAGAGATTTTCAAAGGCGCAAAGGAATCCTATTTTGATGACGAGGTCCTCGAGCCGAAAGCAGGAGAGTCTTCTCCTTCACCAGAAGATGTTTGTGAGGTATCGGGTCGACTCTGTTTCGTGCTTCATCTCATCTCGCCCCAACCAACGACAGACTTCTCGCCGAGAGGACTGGGATGAAAGTCCCTCTCATCCTCAGATTCTCCCTCCTCAAGTGCGAGGCCTCGATGCCGAGACTCCCGACACTTCTGACTTCCCAGCAGACGAATCCTGGAGATCGACAACCTCCTCCACAGGAGACCTCACCTTCTCTCCGACCTCTGCGATGCTCTCCGAGATCTCAACAACAGTCGGTCAGTTGGTCTCTCTGTCAAACCTGTCGCTGATCTCCCACAGGCTGAGCTCGGACCTCGCCAAGGTCTTGGAAGTCTGCAACGAGGTGAGAGAGGAGTCAGCAGGGAACCATTTCGCGAGGTCATCCCGCAATCGGGACATCCGCCATCTTTTTACGAGCTGCTCGGTGGACAAGGCCATCTTCGTTGCCTTTCTGTCATGTGACCTTGCGATTTGACAAGCGTCGGGATACCGTTGCTGATTGCTTTTACGCAGTGATTGATTTGATGTCGAATCTGCTCCTCTCCTCAGACTTGGTCAGGATGTTGGGTCAGCAGCGCATGGTTGCTGTCGACAGGCACGAGCCCGTTCGAGGTCTGCGCAACTCGCTGGCGGTCTGCTTCGCTGCAGCTTTTAACGACGAGGTTCTGATGGAGGAGGCCTTTCTCGAACATGGTTAGTCATCTTCTTGCATCGACTCATTCCCCGATGCACCCTTGGCTGCCTTTCATGCGATGAATGCTTTTCAGAGCCCTCTTGTCACTTCGTCCTCATTCGAATAGTCTGACATGCTCATTCGAATAGTCTGACATGCTCATTCGAATAGTCTGACATGCTCATTCGAATAGTCTGACATGCTGTATTGCCCGCTACCAGGATCTCCAAACTCTTTCTTGCTTATCGATCCCGTTGTCTGGTGGGAAACTTGCCGTCACAGGGATGCAGCTCGAATCACATCAGGGACGGTAACACTTGAAGCTGTTTAGCCGACATGGTGTGTTGATTTCTTTATCAGGCGCGACTCAAAAAAGGAATCCGATCTACTGGGATAGCACATTCACTCGGATCGAGCACATCAAAGCTGAAGAACTTCCCCAGCGTCAAAGAACGGGATTTGGATCGGGTATTTTCAGCAGATGCAGGCAAGCTTCGCATGTTTTCAGCTCTGTTTGCCATGAGGAGGAGAAATCTCAAATGTCTTAGAAAGATCATCCGACATGTTGCCTTCGTTCCTCTCGCCCAGGTCAATCAGTTTGATGTGGTTGAAGATGCTTTCAACTTCTTTCTTGATGGTTTGCAACCCTTTCTCGGCAAGCTGAGTGGCTCGAAGACGCTGAAAGAGGCGAAGTTGGAGGAGATACTGAGAGAGATGTTGGTGGGATTTCAAGAGAGCACGAGAAGAACAAAGTCAGATGTCCTAAGATTTGAGGATTCTTTCTCTTATGGCTTCCAACTGGATCAAGAAGTAGTCAAACTCGACCGGCTGATGATCAGATGTATCAGACTGCATTGCTTGAGTACCGCAGAACACCTTTTGGAAAGACTGAGCGTGCAAGAAATCAAAGACAACTGGTGAAGAGTTTGAAAATGAATTAGCATCTCGTCTCATCTGTTTCCTATCAGGATCGACATTGCAGAAGCTGCTGTGGAGGAAGGGAACTGCGAGTTCTTGAAAGCTTTCTTTGAGAAGAGCGGGAGCTTTCACGGTACCGGATTACGTTGGGAGTGGTTTGTCAGTAATCGATGTTGATGATCAGGCCACAATAATCTGGTCCCCCTTGCACTCAAGAGTGAATCATGGGACATCCTTTATGAAGTAGTTTGCTACGCTCACCGCAACATGCCATCACCGTGTTGGGAATGTAACTCCTCCTTATGTCTTTCTGTGTGTCTGAAGGAATTTTAGACCTCCTTACAAAGAGTTTCGGCGCTCATGGCTCTCCTGTCTTCGCCTCTTCGTCAAGGACACATGTATTGGTTCAGAGTTTTCTCCTTCGTCTGACGATTGAACTCGGAAGGACGGGCATCTCTTGGCTGTTCTGAGACGAGAGTTCAAAGTGAACAGGAATCGTCACGTCACGGTTGTTACTGCGCGACATGACAGCCAATCTGACAAGCATGTCAGCAGCATCTCGCACCCGCCGTGATCGATGACGATGACAACCTACTTCTACAGCTCAACAGCTTCGTGGACGAGTTTGACTTCCCAGTGGATCAACCGAATACGGTTGGGCCCAACAAGAATCATCGGAATCGTCGCTACCTCAAGCACATCGCTCGCTTCTTCCCGGAGAGATCTCGATCCCAATACAACCTCACGCAGCGAAGATGCAGCAAGATGCTGCTGATGGTGAAAAAAGCAGCCCCGCTTCTTTCTGCCTTTTCTCCTTCCTTTCTTTATCCTCCCTCTTTCGTCACTCCCTACCTCCCGCTCTCCCTCCTCGCCTCCCCGCTCCTTTTCCGTTCCAATCTCACCTTACATTGCAGGCGGCAATTCGTCTGTACAGCACGAGACTTACACTCGATCAATCGTTCCAATTCATCGATTGTGTCGCTGATATTCACCACAAGCTTTGCGGGAGTCGTTTCCTATTGCGGTCATTAACTTCGAGCCTCTCTCGCCGAGACATCTATCCCGGTCAAAGTAAGAAGTGAAAAAATTGTTTCGAGTGCGCTGGTCTACACTGTCTGCTTCGTTCTCTGCCTGTGCCATTCATGCAACTTGTTCCCGTTCTATCATGGATTCCGATTAGTGATTTCTTCCTCTTTCTTTGCAGAAAAACTGGATGGCATCATCGGTCAGATACCTCATAGTGCAGACCATCTGAAAGATTTCAGTAAGCTCGAAATCGTTGTTGTCGCTTTGGCCATCACAAACTTCTATATCTCTCATAACAATGAGATCGACCGACAGTTTGCCGTGAAAGGTCCTCCACTCTTTTCTTGATTGCTTCCTCCCTTGACTTGCTCTCTTTTGACTTTAGAGTTCCCGCGTCTTCATGGGATTCTGCACTCCTTTCGTCTTTCATGCGTGGATGGAGATGTCACAGCCTGCACGAGTCTTCTCCTTCAACGTGAAGTTGCTTCACTTGTCAACTTGCCCATGGGAGGCGATGTTGCGGTTCACCTTGCTGCTCATCGATCGGTAGCCTCTGTCTTGTTCATGACAGCGAGGCATTCTTCTTGCTCATCTTGTTTACAGGACAAGTGGGCAGAGGGCTGGGTAGAGAAGAACCCAGGGAGAGTCAAGTGTACTTGTCTTCACCTTGCGATCATGTCGAGAAGGCCTGAGATAGCACGACTGCTGTTGGACCATCATGCGGACCCGACCGTAGCGATCAAAACGGTTGACAATGACTTTGTTCAGTCCACCTTGCATCGTTTGTTAGTCTCTGCCCCTCCTCGCTGGAGAGTGAGGAGCAAAGATCAGCAGCTCCCAACACAGGACGGAGGAAGCGAGGAGGATGTTTGGGATACCCTTCTCGTTCGTGTCGTCACCGATGATCGTGTCAAGATAGAGCAAGAGAGTGACATAGAGGTCAAACACTTTCCGTGGAAGTTGGACGTGATCTCGCTGGCAATTTGCAAAGGTTATGAAAGCGCTGCGCTGGCAGCGCTGAATAGAGAAGATGCAAAGACGGTGAGAAGTAGGTGGAGATTGGGGTATCGTCGTTGATGCTGATGCTGCTGCTGCTGCTGCTAATGGTGGTGGGCGGGGGGGTGGTGATGATAATGATGATTCTATCTTAATTCAACTTCCAGTTCATCAACGGAAAGTCTACCTTCATATCAGCAGTCCGTATGGGATCATTGCGATTCATCCAGCGCTTTGTCGAAAGAGGTTTCATCGACGGTATGAGGCAAGATGATGTCGACACCATCATGGTGGAGGTGAATTTCTTGTTCAGCCTGTCTGCCTCATTCCCTGACTTCTCTTGCCAGCTCGAGAAGTTAAACCATGTCTCTTCAGGAACTCTTCTCCCCCCCATCGCAGCACAGGTCATCTCTGCACATCGTCGTGGGGCATGCCACATCAGCACCTCCGTGGCTCTGCGCCTTGCTGCGGTTGCAGGTTGTGTGGAGGAATTAGACGATCTAGTGCGAGCAGCGAGCGAGGACAGTGACGGGTTCAGCGATAGCCTGTGCTTCCCTTCAGATCCTCAGTGTCTCCAAGGCTTCTCCGGGCTTTCCCTCATGATGATCTTGTCTCGGACTCGTCACCTCAAACTGATGGGAGTTGTCAACAGGCTGAAAGTCAGCTCTCTTGAAACACATCAAGTCTCCAGGGTCGTTGAGACAAAGATGGGCAGGAAGGAATTGATTTTCAAGCTCAATGCTCTTCAGTTCGCCATTCTGTTTGGGACAGAAGAAATGGCATGCAGCATGTTACAGTCCTTTCCAACTGCTGTCGAGCTAGATGACATCTCTGCCTCATTGAACTTTCATCCCCTCCTTGGCAGTACCAGTCTGCTCCACGTCGCATGTGCTAGGGGATTTGCTGATCTGTCGACCATGATGCACGAACTTGGGGTGAGGAGGGAGCAACGAGATGGGAGCGGTCTCTCAGCCTCTGACTGCCTCTGCATGGGATCACAACGTGAGTTCAAGGTAGGATGGTACTTCCACGACGTTTCCTTCCTGGACAGGCGGTCTTTCAACCCCTTCGTCTCTCTACTTGCAGCAGGACGATTGCAGTCGGAGCTTGCGCGGGACGGGGAGGGCAGGGAGGTTAAGGTCGACAGGGAAGAGCTGAGAGCTGTGTGGAAGATTCACTTTGACGCCGCGAGATTCAAGATTGTCAAGATCGTTGACAAGAGCAGCAGCAGCAGCAGCAGCAGCAGCAGCAGGTATCCCCACCCTTTTTTTGTCCTTCCCCTCCCGCCGTCTGAAACTTTGACTTCCTCCAGGCCTCTCCGGACTCCGCACATCCGCCTCAGACGCTTTCAGGACAACCTCGGACCCTCCCTGCTTGCTGCAATCTTCGGGGTCGGGGACGCTCAGGACCTCAGGTCGGTGGTCTTTACCTTCCGGCTGCCAAGTGAGCTTGACTCGTCCGCAGCAATGCGTGCTGGTTCGCAGCCTTCACAGGAAACCTGTCGGTATGGAGGAGGATGTTCAATGCGTCACTGCGATCTCTGTGGAAGTTGCAGAAACGGGTGATGATGTTGTCAGACGACTTCGGACTGCTTGCTGACGACTGTCCTCTCCAGAAGTCATTGGGCACCCTGCGAGGAGACATGCTGTGGTCAGGTAGTTCATTGCTGCCAGATCGAATCGGGCAAGTCCTCTCATCGTTGCTGAGCAGGGCTGTGGACGTCAGTGTTGAAGGGGCATGGCGAGTTTGCGAGGCATCTCCTGGGTCGCTCTTCTCCTCCCTCTCTCCTCCTCCCTCACTTCCCTTGTCCTCCACAGATCAGCTGGAGCCTTGCAAGTCGTTGGACGCGCTGTGGCCGAGGGTGCGGAGGAGGAATACGCTGCAAGCCAGAGCGAAAGTTGATGAGCTTGACTTGGACGAGAAGGAGGAGATTCTGCTCTGGCCGCACGTAGAGATGCCGTTGAGGTTGTTGGATCAACAGCTCGTGAAGTTGAAGGATGAGGGTTTCCTACCAGGTGGATCGTCAGCAGGCGGGCAGGATGGCAACACGAGGAGGACGAGGAAGGATGGGAGACGCTGTGGGCTTTCTTCGAGCTTGTGATGATCAGCAAGTGAGACCGAGGGCGAGGAGAGGAGCAGAGAGTAAAAGGAGAGAGGGAGGGAAAGGAAAGAGACGGAACAGGAGGAGGAGAAGGGAGAGATGGACAATGGGAGAGATTTGAGAGGGAGGGGAAGGGAGAGGATGAGTGGGATCGAACGGAACGGAGGAAAGAGGAAATGGAGGGGTTGGAGGCACAGTGATCCTGCTCAGGTACGACGAACTTGCTTGCAAACTCTTCGATTACTGCGTCGAGTGCGACGGGGACACCTTCATGCACCGTCTGAACCGTCGGAGGGCCGGGCAGAATCTCTTCATGCTCGCCTATATGAACGGTGAGTGGGAATTGAAAGTCAGTCAGCCCATGAGTCTGACGTGGTTCGGTATGCAGGCAACTTTCAAACTCTCGCACTCTGGACGTCCTACGGGCTCCCCCATGATGTGACGGGAGAGCTAGAGATGGAGGTGAGGATTCTGACGTTGAATGTGCCAGGTGAGCGAATGGATGGCGACGAGAGGCCTCGATGAGCAAGACGTTGAAATGTCAGAGAGAAACCTGGCTGCCTGTCTTGTACTGATAAAGTTGGACGACAGACGAGGAAGTTCGATTGCGAGAGGCCCGAGGAGGTTCAGGTGAGACCTTTCCTTGCTCGTTCATTTGATTCTCTAGCTGCCCCTCTGAACCCCTTCGCCACGCTCCGTCTGGTCCCCTCCTGCTCCTGCTCCTCCTGCTCCTCCTGCTCCTCCTGCTCCTCATCTCCTCCTTCTCATCTCCTCCTCCTCCCTCCACCTTACTCCACACACCCCGCGCGTGCGTCCTGCTCTCATCTCTTTACCTTCTACGTGCGTCCCCTAATTCCTCGTGATTTCAGTCTGCATCGAGACTTGGCTGACTTTCAAGCCACGTTCAAAGTCTTGCCGCCTTTGGTTGACGAGGATGAATATCCTCCCACCTCCCCATCCCAGCATCGAGTCAGCCATCGGTTTCCCTTCCTCCTTCCTTCCTCCTCCATCGCCCCCTCCTTCTCTCCTGACGAACTTGTTCGCCTGCCCTCCGTCGTCTCTTGGCTCCCGATGGATCACAGAGCTTCGCCTCTCCTTCGCCTTCGCATCCTGCAGGCCCAGGAGCGTTGGAAGGGGACCGAGTACTCCTCCTCCTTCGTCTTCCCGGACATCGAGGCCATCCTGTTAGCCAGGAACAGGCACAGTAGAGACTGCATGGTGCGATCACATCTCTTTCCATCCTCCTCCGACTTTCACTCCTCTCTCTCCCTTCGCCTCCCCCATCCCTTCCTCCTCCCTCTCTTCCCCTCCCTCCTCCCTTCCTCCTGCCTTGCCCTGAAATATTCCCAGTGGCGCGAGTGCGTGGAGACGCCAGAAGAGGCCCAGGAGGAGCAGATGGAGGCGTCAGATGACTCGAGTAAGATCTTGCATACATCTACCTGCAGCTTCGCTCCCCTCTTCCCATCTTCTTCCTCCTCTCCCCCTTTCCTCTCATCTCCTCCTTCCCTTCTTTCCTCATATCCTCCCCTCTCCCCTCCTCACCGTCTCATCTCCTAACTCCCTTCAGCATCAGCAGATCTTTTCCGCTTCCTGTACAGCAAGAGAATCCCTATCACCTTTAGTCGTGCTCCTCGCTTCGGCCCAAGACTTGTGCTAAGGACTTCTGTGACAGGGCAGGAGGAGGAGGAGAGAATGAGGGAAATGACAGCAGGAATGGGGAAGCTGGGTCAAGTGGACGTCAAAACCGAGGATGAGGATGCAGAGTTGAAACATGATAGACACGGAACCGGCATGGCGGGGGAAATGGAGGAGGAAAAGGAGGAGGGGGAAAAGGCGGCGGCGGAGGAGGAGGAGGCGACGGCAGGGGAGGAGGAGGAGGACAGAGAGAAGGATTTCTACTGAAGGAGAGGAGCGGGTAATGGTCGGTTCAGTCAATGCTGACAGTACCAGGGATAGTTGAGCAGAGCGGTTCGTTAATAGGAGATCTGATCTTTTCCTAACACAACCTCTGAGCGTGTCGCCCTCACAGGGGGATCGAGCAGATTCTTCCTCCGCAGTCCGTTGATCTCTTCATGCTCTGAATGCTACAAATGACGTCATGGTCTGCCCCCCCCTCTCCCCCTTCCTCCCAAACCCACCACCTCCAACCTCCCTCCTCTCTTCCTCGCCTCCCTCCCTCCCTTCTCTCCTTCTCTCTCCAGCCGCACACCTGCGCCTGTCGTCCATCCTCTTTTGACCTGCTCGAAAGTGAGGGGAAAGACAAGGAAAGTCCTCTCCTCTCCTCCTTACCTTCCGGCATCACCATCCTCGTCAGATGAATCTCATACTACACAGATTGTCAACTCCATCATTATCCCTTCCCCTCCCCCCCCCCCCCCCAAAAGCTGCCAACCCCACCCACTTGCTTCTCATCCTCCTCCTCTCCATCCTCCTTGTCCCCCACCCAAACTTTTCCCATTCCTGCTGCCCTCACTCGCTCTGCTCTCCTCCCGTCCTCCCCAGCTCTTGCTCACCATGCCAGCTCCCCGACGCTCCAAGATCAGCGTGACGCCTCTGCCTGCCTCCCCCTGTCGCTCATCCATCAGCCTCAGCTGCTCCTCCCTCGGGTCATCGGGCGACCTGCAGCATCGCGATGGTCTGGCTGAGATCTGCCGGGATCGGACGATTGTCCACACAGATGAGAACGTCGCCGACCTGCAGTAGGGTCAGCTCGGGAGAAGAAAGCAAGAAAGAAGAAGGGGATGGAAGGGGGGGGGGAGGAGAGAACTAGGAAGGAAGGTGGGAGGGCAGGAGGAAGGAGGCAGGGGAGGCAAGGGGGGGAGGTGTGCAGGGTTCAGGACGAGCAGGTTCTGACCATGATCCTTCCGTTGTTGCTCGCAGGGAGTCCGGGGAGGAGCGAGGAGACGATGGTGTCGCCATTCTTCTGCGACAACCCCAGCCCGATGGTTCCGCGCTTGACCTGGCAACTCACATGTAAGGGGAGAATAGAAGTCCGGGGGAGAGGGGGAGGAACAAGGAGCGGGGGGGGGAAATGCAAATGAGCGCAAGCAAAGTGGAAATGCTGTCAATACCGGGCCAAATCCCCTCCTCATTTCGAACCTCCCCGTGTAGGAGTCTCCTGATCCCGCCTGCCCATAGATGCCAAACACGTCATCCCGTGCACGCGCCTGGAACAAGGCTCAGCAGAAAGAACGTCACATACGCTGATCTGCAAGGGGATGGAGAAGATAAGGAAGAGCCAGCAAGGTGGGAGGAAGGGCTTGTCGGAGAGAGGAGGAACAGGCAGCAGAGGAGCAATGCAGGCAGAGGGCAGAGGATCCGACCGGCTGCCTGGAAGCAGAGGGTGGCCCTCGTTGCTCCCACAGGAGCTCCCAGTCTTGATTCCCTTCCCCAGGAGTTCGTCTCTCTCCCTCGCGCGCCTGCTGCACTGATTATCTCTCGCCTCCTTCCGCTGGGGACAGTCACATCCGGCCGCCTTGGAATGCTCGAGATAGGAACTTGACTTGAATGCTGCAAAGCACATCAGGAAAAGGGCTGCGATATGGAGAGGTAGTGGGAAGAAGTAGTGGCTTGGCCAGGACGGGTAAGGGGAGAAGGTTGGCTGTAGCATATCACCGCAGTATGGTTACGATGAGGAGGAGGAGGGAGTGGATTGCGAGGAGGAGGAGGCTGCAAGGGAAAATAAGATGAAACAGCAAAGGGCATCAGGTGGGCACACAGTAGAGATGTCCGGAGCAGCTCCAGTCGCTGTTAGGATGTGAGAAATCACGGTAGGAAGACAGATGTCAAGAGACCACCATGCCCAGGAGAGTAGTTCTCGCTGTTACTGCTCTCGTTGAGACGCCTGATCACGTGCAATCAACAAATTTAGAGCCAAAAAGGCAATGACGGAATGAAGGTAGGCGGTGCAGGTTGAAGAATTAAGGTAGGCCACAGTGCAAGTTGAAGAAAGGCGGTGGGGAAAGGGGCGAGATTGTATGGAACGAATCTCCTCGAACATTGCGGCACCTGTCATATTCACGCTGACGACGTCCTCTCTCCATGACCTGCATGAATGTCAACGTCACTGCAGTTCGCTATCGTCGTCGCTCTGCTCTCTGCACCCTTCTCGTCTACACCGACCCGTCTGCGCAGTCCATCCTCACCTGGGCGAGAATCGGATCTTTCTCGATGCTCAGGGGTTGAGCTGGGGCGCTGTTGGAAGGGGAGCGATCCTGCTGGACCTGGCTGCCACCCGAGTACTCCCCGACTCGATATGCGTATGCCGGCGCCTTCCTCCAGTCAAGGACAAGCAGCCGCGAAACAATCCAAGTACCGTCGAGTGTAGGTCATGCCTGCCTCGCATCTCCCTGCTCGACCAGCAACCATCACTGGCCAACAATCACATCGGGGCAAGGAACCAACATTTGCGCTCCCCTCGCCTCCATCTCGCGAATCATCTGGTACCTTCGATGCCATCGTGTCAAGCTGCAATCTCACTCGAGGGGCCTTGGGTTACCTTGTGTTTCCATCAGATCCATGAATCAACCCCTCTTGGTCATAAGCCATCGCCTGAGTCAAACATCAGCAAACGGTAGAGGCGCCGCCGCACAACTTCACACCTGACCCGACCCATAGCTCTCCGTCTGGTATGGATTATCCTGCTGGCTGGGTGCAACGGGTTGGATCCTTGGCAAACGAGTCAAGAAACAGATTTGAGATGTGATGAGTACACCTGTAGCTTTGTTGATGAGGGCCGTTCCGGTACATCTCGGGGTGGCTCTGCTAGAGGGATAGTCAGCTACGAACTCCTGGTCTTCAACCTTCATATCTCGGCGCATCCCAGCACCCTTCCCTCGTGTAACTCATCTCCCTCTCATTCGTTTGCATGTCCAATACATCACGACACTCCTGACATTGTTGCATGCGCTCTCCGATTCATTCTCTACGCTGCGACCCATCCCTTTCTTCTCGAGGACGGACGTTTGGAGACTTCATTCCATTGGTTCTTTTGCACTCCCCCCCCCCCGTCTCCTCTTGCCTTCACGCGCGTATACCTCATAACTCACTTCAGCGTCTCTTCAATATGGCTCCTACATGCTTCCTGTGGGCCCTAGTATCCTCTTGCTCCAAAGTATTCCTGCACTCCTGTCGTGTTGCCCTCCCTGGGTCTTCCTATCATTCCACTCATTCCACAGCAAACTCGCTGTTTCGCATGAGCCATCGCTAGATAGCTTCCTCTTTCCCTGCTCCCTACACCCGCTCCATGCATTGCCCCCCCCGCTGCTTCGATCCTAGTCGCCACTCCATCAAGGCCATTCTTCTGGTGACACTACATCCCCACCCCACCCCACCTCGAATGCACCCCCACCTAGAACAAAACATATCAGGGTGAGTGTACCCAGAAAGTGACTACCCCTACCTACCAAGTGAGTTTCGGAGTTTTAAACACCCACCATCATCCGCAATTTACCCCATTCTTGACTGTAAAAATAACCGGTCCTATACCATTCTTTCCAGAAGCACCTACCCTGTTCCAGTATGACCCACCCTAAAGGTTGATCGCCCCTGTCAATCTGACATTACCACTCTGATATCCACCATCACCCTGGTTCATAGACTACCCCACCCTACATTTTCAGCCTCTCCGACTCCTTCCGAACTTTGTACTAGTACCCTCCTCACCTATTACAAATTTCTATTACTACCACTCAATTTAGAGACCCCACCCTATCATTATAAACATTTTGGAGCTAAAAGTACCGGTATCCACCTATCCGAAATAGGGTCCACCCCACCTCTTCCATTTGAATTTTCAACCATCCGCGCACCCCACCCCACATGACCACCGGAAATTGAGAACAACCATGCTATAATTCTACCCCTACCCCCTCTTCGATACTCATGTACCCCACCAGAGGGTGGTGCTGCCCTGATGGGAGGCTAATTGAGAACCTAAGAAATGCTGCTGCCTTACAAGGGGCAAACTTTGAGTCAAATGAAACTTTCAAACTTCAAAACGTTAGATTACGAGCTCCCAAACTTTCGAACTTCAGCGATGCTCGTCGTATAAATCTTTACTCAAAGTTAAGTCAAAAATCATTACCAGGAGAATTATAAATCAGTACCATGCTGTCGACCAAGGGTACAAGTCTTCTTGAACCCTAGTCAATTTTTTGTAACTTTAAATCATCTAATAAACCATTTGTACTGAAGAGATCCAGTAAATTGTACTGGAGTATGTACAAAATTGACTGATCATTTGTACCATCCCATCTGGTATAAAAACGACTCTGAGATCAGTGATCATCGGATGCGACTCTCATAATCGTGCTTCAAGGGACTGCCGGGTGACCCGCCATGCAGTCGCGACGGATCTGCGTGCTCATGCTGGCGACGCTCGCGCTCTGCTTCCCGCTCTACCTGTGCCTCATCATCCCCTTGTACCGCCCCCATGTGAAGTCGACGGTCAGCAAGGACAGAGGAGCTGCCGGGTCCGCCGCCAGGACTCGCCTGGTAGTCTCCGTCAGTTCCCTGCTAGGGCGAGTGGACTATCTGCGCAGATCGCTGCCGTCGATCGAGAAGCAGTCGCTGAGGCCCGACAGGATCGTAGTCAACATGCCGCTCTACACGAGGTTTGGAAACATCACTGCAGGAGACGTCGAGTCCTTGGTGGCTGCGCTGGGCTCCACCACTGGGCCCCTGGAGAAGGTGAAAGGAAAACGTCACGACTACGCCAACAGACTCTACTATCTTCACTTCCTCGACAGAGACTTCGGGCCTGCAACGAAGTTGCTGGGAGCTCTGCAGGTAGAGAAGGATCCCGAGACACTGGTGGTCACCCTTGACGATGACTGCGAGTACTCGCCCGAGGTGCTCGCAGCTCTCCGATACCACATGCCCGCCGAAGGTAGCTTGAGTGGTCTCTGCCAAGAGCTCCCTCCCCTCATGCCGATCCATGGCATGGTGACCCTTGGGTTCCCTCATGGCATCCTTGCCAAGGCGGGCTGGTACGCGGAGGATAGAATCATCCCCTGCTATGGATGGCTGATGGGGTACACGGGGATAGCGTACCGGGTTCGGTACTTCGGCAGCGACATCTTCGAATACTTGCAGAAACTCCCCTCAGGATGTTTCTTCCATGACGATGTCTGGCTGTCAGGGTACCTGTACAAGAAGGGCATCCAGCGGTTCTACTACCCCTTCGTGCCTGACCCCATGCACTTCTCCAGGCACCCGAACATGAGCATCAGCTCGATCTCGGACACGCAGTCCAGGCATCAGCTCCCCTGTGTCGAATACTTCAATCGCTTCGGATGGAACTGAGGGGAGAGATGAAGGGGGGGGGGGAGCAAGGAGCTACGGCTGCTCATCCTCGCCGGCATTCTTCTATCATCAAGTCTCAGGATACACTTGCTGTTATCTAGCTCATCGGCGGGTAAACAACTGCTGCTACATGTCAGTCTGATACCCAGCACTCTATTATCTTGCCGTCGAGACTATCAGGCCTCATTATGTCCCCCAAAGACATACAACTTGTTTTAATTGAATTCTTTTGAAATGAATTTTGCAGAAAAGTTTCTGAAAATTGACACAATGGAGACTTTGTCTTGAACAACCCCCTCGCATCTGAGGTACTTTCACCTTGCTTGCAAGAGGCAAGGTACAAGTCTCCATTCATAGCGCAAATCCATAGTATGTGTACACATGTGTCCACCAGTCAGCGTGAAGATTGACCAAAGAGAAACCATGAAAGCGAACCGAAAAGAGAGAAAGGCAAGAGAAAGGCAAAATTCTCAATTCAGGAAAAAAGATGAAAAGATGGAGCCATACAGTCGTATCCGACACAAATCCCCTGTGATTCCGATTGTACACGATTGCTGACCCTCTGTTTCGGTTCGCCTCGATTTGAGATAGATGATTCCACTCCCTCACATCAACCCTTCCATCAAAACTTTTGCATCCCCCAAAAGCCTCAGGCAACCTTGTACCCTGAACAGCTCGCGTGCTGACATCAAGAGTTCTCCTTCGAATCCTGCTTTGTTTCTTCCTTTGTTTCCTCCTTCATCGATTGCATCTCGACCGATACTTCTTTTTCTTCCTGAAGGAGGGCTTCCTTGACCTCCCCAGCTTCTCCGTTCGGATCCTCAGCTTCAGCAGTGGCTTTCTTGGGAGCCTGCTCGTAAAACAGTCCACCTGCAGTTCGGCTGGTCAAAGAATGACCAGGAAAGACTTTCATCGCACCTAGAATGCAGACAAAGAGCCAGAAGATTCCTTCTTGCGAGGCCGTGCTGTTGAGGAAAAGCTGCAGCATTCAAAGATTCAAAGGGAAGTTGAGATGGATGCATGAAGACTGCTTACGCAGTTAAGACCCTCCTGTGCCGCACAGTCAGGATCCCCTAACTTACATCAAGACTCAAGTCACCGTGAAAACTTTGTTCATGATCCCAACAACGGTGTAGGTCGTTGCCTGCGTCACAGTATCAGACATAACAGACCTTGGATGAGATGGTCAAGGACGAGATTTACCGACACCAACTCTCTGCCTGTGAGAAAAAAGTAAGCCACAGACAAATATATTGTAAGATTCTAGCTGAACTTACATCTCCAGCCGAAGTAGCTGATGGAGGAACCAACGATCTGATTTGATCAACTGAGTCCCATGAACAGAAAGACATCCATCATCTTACGCTGGAGATCAGAAGGAACACCATGCTCTTGGTGTGGATCATCTTCGATTCCACTTGCTCCTCAGTCAGCCAGCCCAGGCACTGGAGAGCGACGTCAACCGGTCACACTTTGGAGAAGAGCAAACTGGGAATGATCTACCAGCATCGGAAGGACTGAGAACATATTCGAATAGAACACTTGTCCTGCATGCATTCTCATCAATGGATGACGGGAGAACGCCAAACGAGTTCCGCACAAAGAAAGCTACCTGTAGTGGTCAAAGTGCATTTGTCTGTGACGGTCTTGCCGATCGTCATGACAAATATCTGAGATAAATTAGATGTTCACTCTGTCGTATCATTTACTCACCAAGGTCAGACTGTTCAAACCAACCTGTCGAGAATGAATCAGTGGTACATATCCCACCGCAGCAAAACAAGTTCACGTAAAGATAGCTTATCCATCCATCCATTTTCAGCTGCTTGTCATGTACAATATACATACTTGCACTCCCAGCAATAATCTGAGGAAATCAGAAAACATCATGAACATCACAACTTCAAGTCCCATGAGGGTAGCGCATTACCATCAAGGCAAAGATGGCCCGGACGGATGGACAATCTCGATTCAAGAAGTAGTAATCGCACAAGACCAGAATGAGCGGGTTGCAGCTCCTAAAGACAATGAGAGTCTCCATGTTGGTTGTCTGAAGGGCTGAGTCATGTGTACATCAAGGGAGCGCACTGGGCATCACCTCCAGAGCGCGCAGAGTGAAGTAGATGCTGAGTGCGAAACCCACTGAATACGCTGCCATGTACGACCTAGGGGGAGAAGGGGGGGGGGATTATTACCACCGTATCCAACAGGATCATCGTCCGTACCTGCCGTCTGAGCTGAGGGCCTGAACTTCACAAAGCCCCATCGATGCCCTGAACGCAATTTAGCAGTCAGCCCCAATCAAGCTGCTGCAGAGAAATCTTACCCGATAAGGATCACCAACACAGTAAATGCCATCTGAAAGCTGGTGGAAAGTGTTCAGAGACATAGGAGGGAGCCTCCAACGTTTTACCATGCAATGTATGAAGCAGCAGGAATGTAGGAAAGACATATCTGCAAGCAAGGTAAATGCCTCTCAAGCGCCAGGAATGTATTCGCATTCGCATACCCTGTTGACCACAAGCATACACGACGAACATATCGAGTAAAGAGCAATGATGGTGATTGCGTTCATCTTGAGCTCTTCAGCAGACTCTGTGACAGAGCGCCCAAGTTCCGAAAATGCGCTCCCCTGCAATCAAGGTGAGTGGCGCTCGTGCCATTGCACGGACAGTCAGATCACCGGAGCTTCTCGTTCCAAGGGCTTCTCACTTGCTGTTGTATCTCCCTCTCATATCCTTCTCAGTCTTTCATCTCATCTCTCCTTCTCTCCTCTCCTTCTCCGCTCCTTTCCCCCACTCTCCCCGTCCCCAGGTTTACCCGCCACATGGCACGGCTTAAAAGTTTTAAATTCACATTACATTTCAAGGATACTTGATATTTTGAAATTATCTCTTAATATTTGAATTTATGAAATCAAATTAATATATATGTAAACCTTTTTTTTAAGACAAGTCTTCCCAGGGGTACTCAATACCCCCTCCCAGACCAATAAAGTACCCCACCCTCTCCTACCTCACATCACCAATTGCCCGACGAGTCACAAGGAACCTGGGTGGGGTCATTGGTTGAGCAGCATGGTAGGGTAGGAGTATGTGGTAGGGTCCACTCCTGTAGGGGTAGGTGTATATTGTACTAGTGATAGGCAAAAATCTCATAGCAACGTGGGGTAGGACAGATAAGACATTCCTGTGGGAGGTGGGGTAGTGACATGAACGGGGTGGGGTGAGCAAAATGCAGGTGTAGCACGTAAATCGTACCTGATGCTTCCCTTGTTTCCTTTTACATCCAACTTTCGTTATCTCCCTCCCTCCTCTCCCTCCTCCGACATCCTTAGCTGCTGCCTTGCTCAGTCTTCTTGGTCCTGCCGCTCAAGCAACACTTGATGGCTTTCCAACAGACGCCTTTCCTTTCCTCACAGAGTCACAGCTTTAGTTGATGCATAATGTAGAGGGACGAAGCTACGAGTAGGATCAGGACGAGAAATGATGGAGGACTGACTGGAGGATAGAAGTCTGTACGAGAAAAGATTGAGAACTAGAAGATGGAAGTCTGTACTTTTACTTGTCGTATACTGCGCACAAACGCAGGCTACTTTCTTACGCAGAGAATTCGTAACGTCCGAACCTTACATGCATACAACACGATGGCGCTATCAATGCATCTGATGAGATGAGACAGGCGAATTTCCATCCAATTTCATCGTTGCAATTCATCCGTTTTGAAGACACTATCACGGTCAGATCAAATACAAAAAACCGATGTTCACTCATGTAAGAGACCTTACATACAAAGGGTCTGTATAGAATGCCGATTGACCAGTGGCACTGACAAGCTTGGCTCCAAGAGAACTATACATGACTGATGATACTACACGTAATATGAAATAGCACTGAGAGACAGATAACTGTTTCGAAATCATCAAACAGTAGAGAGACTCGAATCCGATGATCTGCGCCGCGCCGCCGCCGGGATCACTGAGGCGGTACGGTCAGGGCCCCGGACTCTATTTCATGGCATTGCAGCTCGGGCCGTCCGACAGTGACCTTCACCGCGCGAACGGCGGGCCGGCGGTGATGGCCCAGTGGGCGGGCTGGGCGCGCCGCCCCGGGACTCCGGGAGACCGGGCCCCGGTCCCGCCGATCACCGGCGTTGATCGGACCGCCGGCGCCGGGCGGCGCGGCCGGCGGCTAGTCATGATGGAGCGTATGCCAGCCGTGCCAGGCGTCATATAGCGCCGAGCCTCCCGCTTAACAAAAACTCTCCTGTAAACTTGGGCCAAGACGACTTACGTGTCAAGGCGGCCGATGCAGCGTGTGGGACGAAGAGGGGGCTTTCCTAGCCGTCTTGCTAAGGTCCTCTCATGTCTGGATGCTTGGGTTTCACATCCTAGCATACTAAGTCTATCTCTCATGTGCTCCTCAATTCTGGTTTTGTGTGCATTAAACTCGGTCTTGAGCAAAAACTGTCTTGTTACAACTAAAGTTGATATGATGTCTGCAGAACTTGTGCTCCGTCAAGTCACCAACCGTCGGACCACAGCCGGGCCGGTGCCGCCACACGTCAACATCAGTGGCGGCCTACAGCGGCCGCTCTGCTTCCGGAACAGGCCGCTTCCGAGGCTTCCGAGGCTTCCGCCGGAGTCGGCGCCCGGCCGAGTGGCAGGAGTCGTCACGGAGGGCCCGGCCGACCGCCCGGCCGGGCCGAGTCCGGTCAGCGGCGCCCGGCCGCCGGCCGGGTGCCGAGTCGGACTCACCCTCCGGTTATAACGCATGTAACTGTTATAACCATTTTCAACGGTTGCTTGACTTTTCGACCAAGCGAACGCGTCATGGCGAGACTCTGACGATCGGATAAGTGCTCCTCCTCCCCTTCTCCCCCCCTTTTGCGTCATCTTGTCCTCTTTGTAGCCCTTCTCACTCTTCCTCCATCTGTCCACTTCCTAGGAATCTCCAATTCCCTCCTCTCAATCACCACTGCCTCCGGTCGTCGTTCGTTGCTCTCTGACTGAAACGAGGTTCTCAATATCGCATCTAAGAGCTGGTTTGATAACGATCTGCTCTCTGAACCCACGGTCGGCTACAGCTCCTCCTGCATCATTTCATTTGTCACGGTTTCCCCTCTATCTCACCAGTATTCTTTAGCTCGGTTTCGAATATTCGACCGCTTCCATCGCATCCCTTCTGGAAGCTTTTGTGCATGCTGAGCAAGGCAGTTTCTCTCCCCTGAATCATAATCCAAGACTCTTCAGTTTGAGCACCCAATGTGCACAACAAGAATTCAAACAAGTTTTCTCACGTTAATCCTTCTCTTGCACCTCACGGGGGCTGTTGGCATCGAAGGAGACATCTCTGCGGCGAAACGACAGTTGGTCGAAGCCTTCAATCAGCGTCGATACCTCAGCGGGGACGATTCATATCCGAGCCATTACAGGCAGGATGCAATGCCCCAAGAGTGCTGCGCTGGCAACGATTGCACTGAGTGTATGATAGAAAGAGCCTCGAGCTTGGAGGCAGTCACTACATCCATCCAGCAGGACATAGAAACGCTGCGCGACCTCGGTTGCCCCTGCAGGATAGCGTCTCTCACTCCATCCTCTGGCTCCATCGCTGGCGGGACAAGGGTGATCGTAGATGTCTCGGGGATGGACTTAGACATGGCTCTTGCTCTTGGTCCCATCGAGTGCTGGGTGAGGAGAGCGCCGGAGGTCTACGACAAGCTCGCAGCGACAAGGACAGCGCCATCAGCACTCGCATGCACGTTGATGCCCATGCACCAAGGTACCACAGACTTGTGGCTGCACTCCGAATATTTCACGATCAAATCCGGCGCGACATCGTTCCTGTACTTGAATGACTTGACGGTTTCAACGTACCTTGTGCAGCCCAAGGCCTCTCCGGTCACTGGACGCATCATCATCACGATTCACGGGACGAACTTCCCGCTCAACGACGCTTTCTTGAGCGGGAAGGTGCGGTGCATGTTCCGAGGAATCACATTCGCTGCCGCGCTGCTCGACAACGAGACGGCCACCTGCGTAACTCCAGCTTTGCCGCGCGGCCGCGACTTCCTCTCTCTGACTTACAACGGGGTCGACGCCATCCCCAACACATCACTGCCCTTCGCCGTGTACAACCACCCGCTCATCGTCGGCATGTGGCCAGAGACAGGATTCTCGGGCGAGGTTGTGTCGTTACTGGCCTCGGGGTTTGGCTTCGATTACGTTCCGTTGAAAGAAGATCTGCTATGTCGATTCTTGCAGCCCCACCAGAACAAGACTGTGGTAGGCAACCGGGTGGGCAACACGAGTACGATAGAGTGTCGTGTTCCCAACAACACTCGTGACGACCATCTGATCAGCGGTCAGGTGCGTATCGAGTTCTCTCTGCTCGGATGGATCGATGAAGCTTTCAGCGATCACGAGCTGAGACAGTCCAACTTGTTCCGCTACAAGTGCCAGGATGAGCGCACGGTCTACACTGACATCACCCTGGAGTTCTTTCCCAACTGCACAGCTGGCTTCTGCTGCTCGGCAGGGTTTGTCTCGGATGGTCACAAGTGCCAGCCTTGTCCTGCTGGGACTTTCTCCGGCCCAGGCTCCTACCGCTGCCTCGACTGTCCCGCAAACTCCACCAGCCCACCCGCCAGCCCATCTCCTCGCAGCTGCGTGTGCAACGAGGGGTTCGTCGGCTCGAACGGGGGGGTGATCGAGCTGCCGTGGGACCAGTGCTTGCTCTGCTCGGAGGACGAGTTCGCCTTCCTGTCTCCTCGCAGGAGAGTTGAGGATCAGCTGAGCAAGAGCATCCACACGCTTGCAGAGTACCCGGTGAGCGCCTCCTGCTTGCGATGCCCGCCCAACAGCAGAAGCCCAGTTGGAGCGCGGTTCGAAGCAGACTGCGAGTGCAGGACGGGCTACATGTGCATGAGCGACGGGATTCCTTGCTACCTGAGGCTGGTGCACGCGTACGAGGAGTGGGGGAGAAGGACCTGCCAAGTCAGGCTGCCCGACCAGCGCAACGTCCAGCTGACCGAGTACAAGATGCAGCTGCAGGCCCGTGCTGGGGTCGTCAGCTCCTCCCTGCCGGTCTGCCGCGGGCACGGGGAGGGAGACATGACAGCGCTGAAACCTTGCGATCCCTGCGACCTCACGGGCGAGGAAACGCAGTGCGAGTGCACCTGTGCCAACAGCCCAGGGTACGCCGCGAACCAGTCGGCGTACAGGTGTGAGGATGTGGATGAATGTGCTGAGGACGCGGGGGTTTGCGGTCCCTTGTCCTCCTCCTCCAGCCAGCCCCTCCAGTGCAACAATGTGTACGGCGACTTCGAGTGCCTGTGCCCGGCCGGCTACCAGGTGAACCTGGGGGAGGGAGGGGCCTGCACCGACATCGACGAGTGCTCTGAGGGAGTGAACTCATGCCATGACGACGCCGTCTGCGTCAACACCCCAGGCTCCTTCCTCTGCCACTGTCGGAGGGGCTTCGTGGGGGACGGGGTGATCGACTGCTGGAACGGGAAGAAGGAATGCGTGGGAGCTCTCGAGGTCAACATCGACATGACAGCAGACCCAGCTTGTCCCCAGCCCCAGCTGAACGTCTCGGGGGAGGTGCAGTCAGACTTGAACGCCACCAATAGTGGGAACCTGTCCGTGGTCAACGTGACAGGGGAGGAGCTGGGGAATAGCACAGCTGGGAACGTGTCGGACGGTAACCTGACATCGAGCGAGAACGGGACGGCGGCGAATGCATCGAACACCAGCAGCTTCTTCGGGAACCTGTCCGTGGTCAACGTGACAGGGGAGGAGCTGGGGAATAGCACAGCTGGGAACGTGTCGGACGGTAACCTGACATCGGGCGAGAACGGGACGGCGGCGAATGCATCGAACACCAGCAGCTTCGGGAACCTGTCCGTGGTCAACGTGACAGGGGAGGAGCTGGGGAATAGCACAGCTGGGAACGTGTCGGACGGCAACCTGACATCGGGCGAGAACGGGACGGCGGCGAATGCATCGAACACCAGCAGCTTGACGGAGATGATGAGCGCGATGAACGGCACGGAGCTGAACTCGTCAACGTGGAATATGAGCAGGAGCGGCAGCAATAAGACAGAGATGAACATGTCAAACTCCAGCCTGGTGGAGGGAGAGAGCCTGTTCGACCTGTGCTGCCGGTCAGCTGGGACCAGGGATCGAGTGTACATGCGCTTCTTCTGGCTGCAGACTCAAACTTGGAGCGAGGAAGTGACTTTGAGCGACTACCTGCCGACGTCCGTCGGCGCCAATGGCAGCGCGATCCTGTCAGGCTTCAAATACGTCGGCAACGTGTCGATGGTGGAGTACCGGGTGGAGGGCAACGACGAGTGGCGGCCCTCCGCCCTTCGCCTGCGGCTCTACAACGCAGACGTCTGGCTCAATCTCTCCTCCTCCCTGTGCTGGGTGGGGCCCACCAGCTCCCCAACAGCAGCATGCGCCGACGGGAACGGGACCTGCAGCGGGATGCAGCTTACTGCTCGGGTGGACGTCGACGAGTGTGCCATCGGGTTTCACAGCTGCGATGAGCACAGCACGTGCAGCAACGAGGAAGGGAGCTACCGCTGCAGCTGCTTTGCCGGCTACCGCGGGACAGGCCGCAGCATGCTGGGCCCTGGCACAGAGTGCCTGCCCTGCCCGAAAGGGACGTACGCCCACTCCTCCTCCACCTCCTGCACCACCTGCCCGGACGTCCACAGCACGACTCAGGAGGACAGGAGCATCTCCTTGACCGACTGCTTCTGCCTGGCCGGCTACTTTGGTACCCTCAGCCTCAACCAGTCCTGCAGCATCTGCCCTCCCAACCACTTCTGCCCTCGTGGGGCAGCCCAGCCCACCCCGTGCCCAGCTGGCTCCTCCAGCCCTAGGGGGACCAAGGAGGTGACGGACTGCGTCTGCAACCCAGGCTACACGGGACCCAACGGAGGACCCTGCAGCGTGTGCTTGCCCGGCTCCTCCTGCGAGGGTGGGTGGGTGGACCCCCTCTCGTGCCCCTCTGGCACCTTCTCGACCCAGGGTCAGACCTTCTGCACCCAGTGCGTCAGCAACTCGACGAGCTGGGAAGGGGAGGGTACCTGCCGGTGTGATCCGGGGTTCCACCACCCAGGTTTCTTCCAGCTGACCCCCAACTCCACCTGTGGGTACCAGGGGTGCAGCGTCGTTACGTCGGAGGCCAGGTGCTATGCTGCGGCAGCAGCGCTGCTCAGGGAAAACCCGGGTGCTTATCCCAACTACGAGGGGCACTATGACAGCCAGGGAGGATGCTTCCTGCGCCCTGTGCCCAACGTCTTCAACAGCTCGACTGGGAACGAGATCAACGGCACCAACAGCTCGACGGGGAACGAGACCAACGGCACCAACAGCTCGACTGGGAACGAGATCAACGGCACCAGCAGCTCGACGGGGAACGAGACCAACGGCACCAACAGCTCGACTGGGAACGAGATCAACGGCACCAACAGCTCGACTGGGAACGAGATCAACGGCACCAACAGCTCGACGGGGAACGAGACCAACGGCACCAACAGCTCGACGGGGAACGAGATCAACGGCACCAACAGCTCGACGGGGAACGAGATCAACGGCACCAACAGCTCGACGGGGAACGAGACCAACAGCACCAACGAGTCGAACTCCTCCTCTTCCTCCTCTTCCTCCTCTTCCTCCTTGCTCAACATCTCCGTCAACCTGACTGTCTCCACTCCCACCTGCTCCCCGGACTCCCCATGCGTGTGCGAGGCCTGTGCCCCTCCGGTCTGCCTCGGATGTGCAGCTGGGACATTCTCAGAGCAGGGAGCCACCTCCTGCTCCAGCTGCCCTCCAGCTTCACTCAGCCCGGCGTTCTCCGGTCAGAAGTCGGACTGTCTCTGTCTACCTGGCTTCCACGGCGTCGCCTCCTCCTACAACGCCTCCTGCAGGTTCGGCTCCTCCCAGCGATCGCCGTGCGTGCTCCCTTTCTACTGGCAAGGCACCAAGTACGTGGATTGTACCTTTGATCTTCCTCCTCCGGGAGGAGGAGCAGGAGGAGCAGGAGGAGAAGACTTGTCCTGGTGCGCCATCTCTACCATGGCAAACGGGACAGTGAAGGACTGGGACTGGTGCTCGTGCGACCTCGGGTGCAAGCCGTGTAGAGCAGGGAGCTTCACGTCTGAGCTCGGCGTCTCCGTCTGCTCCTCATGCCCAGCAGGGTCGTACGCCAACCAGAGCAGGGCAACCACGTGCGAGCTGTGCCCGGTCAACACGACGTCCCAGGAAGGAAGCGTCTCCTTGCTCAACTGCACCTGCCTGGAGGGATACGAGAGGACGGCGGACGGGTCCTGCAAGGATGTTGATGAGTGCCTGAACGCCTCGGCCTGCTCTTCCTCCTCCTCCTGCATCAACCTCCTTGGCTCCTTCCGCTGCGACTGCAAGCCTGGGTTCTACTCCAACGGCTCTTCCTGCTACGACTGCACCCCAGGCTTCTTTTGCAACGGGTCGCATGTACAAGTCCCTTGTCCCGCCGACTCCTTCGCGCCCTCTGGCAGCTCCTCCTGCTCCTCCTGCCCTCCCCACTCGCAGAGCCCGGAGGCAGCCGGAGGTGTCGAGGCGTGTGCGTGCCTGGTCGGGTTTGTGAACAACGAGACCGGTAACGCCTCCCTCACCTCCTCTGCCAGCTGCGCCAACGTTGACGAGTGTGCTGCTGGAGTCGCCGACTGCAGTCAGTTCGCCTCCTGCTCAGACACCTTGGGGTCGTTCACCTGCTCCTGCCTGCTAGGCACATACGGGGATGGGGTCACCTGCTTGTCAAGGTGCGGCGATGGGCTGAGGGGAGGAGAGGAGACGTGCGACGATCTGAACAACAGGAGCGGAGACGGCTGCAGCTCGACGTGCACGCAGGAGCCGGGATGGAGTTGCAGCCCCCAGGGAGGGCAGAACGCAACAGGGGCAGGGGGGAACTCGTCGCTGGGAGACTTGTGCGTGGACGTGAACGAGTGCGCGCTGGGACTGGACGACTGCTTCCTCAACGCAAGCTGCGTCAACACGGTGGGGTCGTTCTACTGCGAGTGCTGGCCGGGGTTGTACGGGAACGGGAGCTTCTGCGAGGAGTGCCCCATCCACTCCCACAGCCTCCTGGGCTCCCAGCTCAAGGACAACTGCTCCTGTGATGACGGATGGAAGCGCTCCTCCTCCTCCTCCTCCTCCTCCTCCTCCTCCTCCTCCTCCTCCTCCTCTGTCGTTGACTGGTGCGTCGACTTCAACGAGTGCGAGGCCGAGACGGTCTGCGGCAACTTCACGTCCTGCAACAACACCATCGGCTCCTTCCACTGCGTCTGCAACGTCGGTTATGAGCCCACTAGTGACACTCAGTGCGCTGACGTCGACGAGTGCGCTCAGGGCCTGGCCGGGTGTGACACGTCAACAGTCTGCTCCAACACCCAGGGCTCCTTCGACTGCCTCTGCCAGCTGGGCTATAGCTCGGACGGGGCCAACCTGACCAACACCACCTGTGCTCTGTGTGAGGTGGGCAAGTACTCCGACATGCTCGCCGCCTCCAGCTGCACCCGCTGCCCCGCAAACTCGACGAGCATCAAAGGAAGCACCTCAGTGTCCCAGTGCACCTGCATCGCAGGGTATGCGGGTTCGATCTCCCAGCTTGGAGGGAACTGCTCGGCCTGCCCAGCTGGCAGCTTCTCACTGGGGAACTGGTCCAGCTGCTGCTCTTGCCCCGCAGGATCGACGTCAGAGGAGGCCAGCCCTTCAGCCGACGCGTGCATGTGTGACGTCGGCTACTTCGAAACGACCCCAAGTAGCGTCCAGCAGGGCGGGAGCTCGATGGCAGCATCGGACAGCTCCAACACCTCCAACACCTCAGACAGCTCGGCTGGTGCTGGTGGTGCAGGAGGGGTTGGGGCTTCGTTCTGCCCAGCTGTCCCCCTGCACTGCCAGCGCTGCCCTCCGTTCGCCTCGAGCCCTCTCGGCTCTAAGAACGCGTCCGCATGCAATTGTATCCCCGGCTACTACCTGGGGCCGACCAACGGGACAGGAGGAGGGCGGGGAGCTAACGGGACAGGAGGGCTGAACGCGTCCAACTCGACCTCTCCTCCCCCGGCGAACCTCTCCTGCGTCCCCTGCCCCAGCTGCCCTCCGGGCTACGAGATCGTCGGGTGCGGCAACTCCTCCCAAGGGCAGTGCGAGGACGTCAACGAGTGCGCCTCCTCCCCTTGCGCCCAGGAGGGGTCCAGCTGCTTCAACTTCAACGGCAGCTTCAGGTGCGAGTGTGCCGCTGGCTTCTTCGGCGATGGCTACAAGATCTGCAGGTCTGCTGCTCCTCCTCCCTCAACACAGCAATCTTCTTCTCTCATTTCCGTATCTCTCTCCTCCACCCTGCTTGCTCTTCTTGCTCCCTCGTCCTCCCCCTGACCTTGCTCTACAGTCGCTGTCCGGATCCCAACGCGAACTCCCCAGCAGGCAGTACGGAGCTGGGCAACTGCTCGTGCATGGCAGGATTCCTGACGGTGGACGGGGTCAGTCCCGTGCTGACCGAGCAGCAGCACACCTGCTATGGCTACGTGGAGCTTCTGATCAGGACATGGGAGGTGGCGGGGGCGGCGGACAGCTGCTGGCAGGGGGAGTACAGCAAGGAGCTGGCAGGGACGGAGGACGACGTGTGGGTGCGGGTGAAGTGGGGCGACGGGTCGAGCACGAGGTGGTTCAGCCTGTACTCGGAGAGCAGGAGGTCGCCGTACGTGGAGGACTTCGTCTCTGTGGGGTTCAACTTCACCCTTGGCTCCGAGAGCCTCGCCATCCTCTCCAGCCTCGAGCAGATGGGAGGTGAGCCAGCGGCGCTGGAGTACTTCCTGCAGGGCAACGACGCCTGGCGGCCTTCCTCCTTCCTCCTCCGCATCAACAACTACATCGCCACGGGGATCTACGCTACCCAGGGAACCCTGCAATGGGTGGACGGGAACTTCGCCTCCTCTTCCTTCTCCGCCAACTACTCCAACTCCTGCTACACAATCCAGCCCTCTGCTCTAGCTTCCCTCGTCAAGGTCTCCAACGCCTCCAACACGACTCAGGACGTGGTGTTCGGGCTCCCTCCGACAAAGCCGAGGAGAGTGAAGGAGGAGGAAGGTAAGGGGGGGAGCGAGCAGCGCATGTACACTACCGAGTAGACAGTTACGACTTGATACATCAACAACCTTTAGCTCGAGCTTATCTCAAATGCCATCCTCTTCCTCTGGGAGCCTGACTGATCCGCACGGAGGTGGTGGAACTGGGAGCGAGGCCAACAACTTATCCGTTGGTGGTGTCGATGGTGATGGTGCTAAGGGCCCAATCACAACCAGCACAGCTCGGACGCAGAGGGGAACAAAGAGGGGGAAGAAGATCGAGAGTCTTGGGAGGGTACAGGAGTAAGGGACTTACTCGCTGTCAGGAGTGCTGTAGCTGTCGATGATGTCGAAGGTACCAGGGCTGTGAGGAAGGTGCATCAGCTGCTGCTCCTCCTTCCTCTTCGCCCTCCTAACCTTCCATCGAAGCTCTCGCCATCGGCGCGGGTGTACCCGTCGTAGGAGAGCATGGTGAGGTTGGTGCGGAGCTCCTGGGATACAAGTCACAGGAAGCATGGCCTTACTTTCATCTCTCACCTGGAAGTTTCTCAAATCTGCAAACATGGTTCTGGAGGCACAATCATGTTAGACTCAAAACCAAGACCAAAACTTGGTTTTCCCTCCATGCGCATTGATCCATACAAAATTCCTTAATTCATGATTTTTCAACTCATTCACTCTCTCTTTCTGTCTCAGACTCCATTACTGGTTCATCTCATCTTCATGTCATCTTCCCTCAGGTCACCATCGTCAACGTCCAATTTTCCCTAGAGCATTCGATTGACAACGTCCATCACATTACCCCGCTCCAGCATTACTGCAATTTCATCTACGTATCTCTACTGGCCCCTTCTTTCTTCTCCTCAATGTCCTCACTTTCAACTTCTGCATCGTGTTCTTCTTGTTCTGGTTTCTCTTCACCAAAGTCGCCCAGTCCCGTTTTGTCCTCTCGTAGATCTACAACAACACCAACATCCACTCTATGATTGTACTTCTCACATGTAGACTATCCTCTATTTCCTCCTAGCTGTCTTGACTTCATCATCTCGTTCCTGCCATCGTGCTCTTCTATCCTTGCATGTCGCTTCTCCCACCACACTGTTTGTTCTGCATCAGCCCCTCTAGCTAGCCATTGCTCCCGAAATAACCTCTTCCCCAGGGTGACTTTTAACACGTACCCCACCCTGACCAACTACCCTTGTTACCCCCTCCACCCCTGCAATATCCGCAGTCACCTACCTGTACCCACCACAAATACTGTAGTTTCCAGGGTGATGTTGGTATTATTGTGAACCCACCCCCTGGTACACTTTGTGAAGTACCTCTACCCCCCACTAATTCACTTCTGCCACTCTCCACCCCCACCTCTGAAATGTGTGATGATGAGGTAGGTACTTCAGTACCCCACCCTTTTAGATATTTCATTTGGAACTTGGGGGGTAGGGCCAAATAGAAGAATGGGGGGGTCCTTTGTAGTGTAAAGGATAGGGTAGGGTACATATGCCGTTTGAAAGCAATCAAAGCTTTCAGAGGCGCCACTGGACTATGAGAATGGAAGGGAGAGGAAGGAGAGGGAGAGGGAGAGGGAGAGGGAGAGGGAGAGGGAGAGGGAGGAAGAGGGAGAGGGAGGGAGGGAGAGGGAGAGGGAGAGGGAGAGGGAGAGGGAGCCTGAAGAGGGAGGGAGAGGTTGCGAATGAGAGGGAGGGGGACTCAGAGGAGGGCAGAAGATGGAGGGAGGGAAGGGAACTAGACATGCGGAGCAGCTGAGAATATCGACAGATATCGAGAAGTGAGCACCGAGAAGAATTCTACTTGATCCCGCGATCAGCCCGCGCTGCGTTCGTATCAGCCACGCGATCGAAGGCGCTTCATCTCACCCCGCTCCGTATCGCACCATGTCCATGGAAAGCATCACAAAGAACGCGATCGACGCGCTCCAGCGTCTCGAGCGATGCGAGAAGAAAGAGAGGTTTGACCTCAACCTGCCGACTGACAACCCGAGGCTGAAAAGGGTTGTGTACGAGAGGAACGAGGGCGACGAGGACGCGGTGAGGCTGCTCAAGGATTACCTAAGGTCGGCAGACCTTCAATCTCAAGGCAGCAAGGCGATGATCGAGCTTGTTCAAGACGTCTTGCAGGCGGGCCCAGGACTATCGCTGGCAGGGAGCAGGAGGAAGACGAAGAGTAGCGAGAGCTCAACTGGAGTAGAGGTCGCGCGAACCTTTCCCTCAAGCCTAGCGCCGTCATGCAGTGGGATCATGGACAATGCCCACGTGCGACTCGACGGTCATGACGAGAGCCGGGTGATCGTGAACCGGATCGGTAAGTCCCTAGCAAGCCCCTGTCGTGTCGACGGACTCTGACGCCTCCCAGTTGCAAAGGGGGAGAAGGTGGAGCAGGCGCTGCTGGCTGGGCTGAGCGGCATGACCCCAGGGAGCGCACAGTACATTGCACTGAAGGAGAAGGCGGCTGCAAGGAAGCTCAAGGCGATCCTGAGGGCCACGGAAGGTGAGAGGGAAGACTGTCGGGCGCCTGTTGGCTGACGTCAGCGCGCAGAAGCGATTGCAGAAAAGTGCAGCAGTCTCCAAGAGCACGTGAAGATGACTTCCTTCCTCAAGTCGAGGGTGCGGGAGTACCAGGGCACCATCCTCGCCTCCGTCCCGGACATCCGCATGGCGGCTGATGCATGGATCCAGAACGTAGAGAGCCTGCGACGAGAGAGGGACAGGATGAGGCACGAGCACACGAAAGGGAGGAGTGAGCTGGAACAGAAGGTGATAGAGCTGCAGGAGAAGTTGGAGAGGACGGACAAGCAAGCGCAGGAGGAGCTGAAGAGGAATGAGTCCTTTGCCAAGAACCTTGCTAGCAGCGCACTACGACAGAAGGAGCTCTCACAGGAGCTCGAGAAGTCGCAGTGTGAGCTGCGGGAGACGAGACAGGACAAGGAGCGACTCTCCCAGCTCGTGGACAGGCTCAGCAGCGAGTGTGAGGAGGAGAGAGGGCGAGCAGACAGCTTCTCTGAAGCTCTAGATCGTCTCCGGGGGATTCTGAATCGAATGAGAGGTGATATCGTTGAGCAGAGGGAAGCCGATACAAGCCTTCGCGTCCTCGTGTCCTGGTTGCGCTTCGCAAGCCACTCCAAGTCCTCGCGGCACGCGCAGCAGGTGCTGGACATGGAGGAGGAGGGTCGTCGCCTCCTGTCTGAGGAGAAGACGATGTTCATGAGGACGCTGGAGGAGGAGCGAACGAGGCTTCAGGACGAGATCAAAGGGCTCAATCAGGTGCTGAAGCACGAGCGGGAAGAACGGCTGCAGGAGTGGGAGGAAGTCTCGAAGCGCCGGGCAGCAGAGGCAGCAGCTCGCGAGGAGGATCGAAGGCAGCGGGAGGAAGACAAGACTTTCATAGCAGAGTTACAGCTGCAGGTGAGGAGCCTACAGCAAGATCTCAACGCCAAGGCCCATGTGAGCCAGCAGTCCCTCTTGGCAAGTGACAAGGTCCTCCACCACCAGAGTACTATGGCGTCCAAGATCAGCATGATCGAGCGGCTGGTGGCCTCCTTGGAGTCCTCCATTCGCAAGCTAGAGGAGCCTCCGCGGCAGAGTGCTCTCCCGTGCAAGATGGTGGAGGACGTAAGCTGGCGTGCCCTCAGCCTGTCGCAGGAGACCCGCTCGCTCCTCGAGGAACGAGACGCCTTCGCTAAGGAGATCCTGTCGCCCCCTTGTGCTGCTGACCGGTCCACTCGCGTCTCTCCGATGCCTCATGCAACCCGAGTTCAGGGTCGGAGGGACGAGGGCGGGAGGTGCAGGGAGGCGGAGGCGGAGGCGGAGGCTGTTGTGGAGCATTGCTGCGACTCCAAACACTTTGAGGCGAACTCGGAGAGATCGAGGCACGTGAGAGATCTAGGAAAGACAAGGCAGCGCGTGCAATCTCCTGTGGAGGCTAGACCCGCCTCCCCACCCTCTCCTCGAACTCAGCGTTGTAAGCAGGAACAAAGGAAGGAGCTGAGGTTCAATGTTCGACCTGGGTATGTGGAGGATGGAGCAGAGGAAAGAACATTAGCTCTGATCGAGGTAGAGGCGCAGGAGCGGTTCCTGGAGATGGCTCTCGAGAAGGCCAGGAAGCGCGCTTCGCTCATAGAGCACATGATTGACCAGCACTGAAACAACAAGTAAACACATTTTGATACACAGGTCTTAAGTCAAAGTGGCTCCGCTCTGCTTGCTTGGCTTGTCATCATCAGCCGCATCCACCTGCGGTCTCGGGTCACTTGACCTGCCGTCACAGTCCTCAACCTCTGCCTCTCACCTTGACGAGCATGTAGAGAAGGAGGCCAGCGACCGAGATGACGTCAACGATGCATGTGAGCCCCACCTGGCATACCTTCAGTCATGTGCGATGCAGCGCAAGGAAGTAAGCACACCTCCTGAGACAGGCCGAGAGCTGCCGTCCCCTCCGATCCGAGCAGCCACAGGACCAGCCAGGCGATCCAGCAGAAAAGCAAGATCCTCAATAGGACGAGGAAGACTTGCTTCGTTTGCTCCGAAGCAATCTGCAACTCACTCACTCTGTTGCTCCTCAGCTTGTCAGATTCTCACCTTCTCGATGCGGTAGATGAAGGTTGAAACGATCCCGATGAACAGAAGTACGGCAGCAACCCACCACGTGTACTTGTGACCTCCGGCAAGAGCAGCTCCGACGCACAGGCAGGACATCATCAAGAAATCGGCACCCAGCAGGGTGATGATGCTGGGAAGAGGAGCTGAGGTGAAGATGGCGATACATCCCAGGATGATCTGTGATGCAAACACACTTTGTGAGATGCGAAAATCTTAACATGAGGGGAGGACTGAAAGGGGGATGAGCGCAAGAACTCACCGGAGTTCCCAGAATGTGGTTGATGTATCTAGCCCAGAAGATCACACGAGGAGTCTCGTCACTCGTCTTGTACCAAACCGCTACCCCCGCCCACATGGCCAAGTACGCAAGAGCTCCGATAGCTGGGGCAAGCCATGCCAGGGCGTGGGGCATGCTCTCGTGGCCCTTGCGGAGGCTCATGAAGAAGAATAGAGCGGAGGTCAGGAGTTGAGCCAGGAAGCCGATGAGGAAGAAGTGTCTGACGGAGTTCGGGTAGTCAGCTGGGAACTCCACCTCAACCTCCGTCGCGTTGCCCAAGAGCTGCGTCATTCGGAGCTTCTCAAGGAGCTCGGTCCTGCCAGAGAACACTCCTCCTGCTCCTCCTGCTCCTCCTGCTCCTGCTCCTCCCAGCCGACCTGCTCCAACCTCCCCTGCAACAACTAGACCCGCTGCCATGACCAGCAGCACCCCTGCGGCTCCAGCCATTGCCCTGCGACCTTCACCTGCCATTGCCGGATTTAGGAGCACCTCATCCCCCTCACCCCCCTCATCCCCCTCATCCTCAGTTTATTTGACAGTTACAGTCGTTACAATATTTTGTACCCCACCCCCATCCATGTCCAATAACCACCCCTAGTTTTAACTTGTGTATGACCACTCCCCACAACCGTGAACCCCATGGGCCAGACAACCCCAGAATGATCCCAATATTTCAACATGCACTGGATGTACCCACCCTCCCACAAATACACCCCTTATGCTTGTGTTTTAGACTATGAAACTACCCCCTCTTAATCACGATTCACCCCTGGTTCAAGTCCTTCACATACCACCACCCCCTGTTTTACTACCCTACCCCCATGTTTGAAAGGTCAGGACGAGCGTTCGAAGTGTCGTCTGCCAGTGCAATGCCGCTTCTTCGTCTTGCCCCCTTCCGCTCGCTCGAGTTCGCCAACAACTACTGTGAGAGCCTTCTCTCTGTGTACATGTTATGATGGGTTGTTTCGTCTCTTTCCTGATGTGTGAGCATTTGTTGTTTCCTGTACATGTTCAAAACAGTCACGCGTCAATAATGATGTTGTCCTTCGGATCAAGATTTTTTGCTTAGATCATTTGTTTCATCTTGTTTCTTCTATCTTTACCTGTCTCAACTTTGTTGTGAAATGCTCGTGATTTTTTAATCTCTCAATCTCTTTTCACTTCTTGCCTCCCTGCTTGGCTACAGACTTCAAATACGATGAAGATTATTATGTATTTGTTGAACATCCCCTCTCTTCTCATTATCTTCAACTCTGCTTGTTCTCTAGTTGTGTACTATCTTCATTTGGATCCTCATCGCTACCCCCTGGGCTTCTCAAATGTTTCATCCCAAACCATCTTGCCTGAAGCAAGTTTGATTGCCTGACGGCTTGTTGTTGTGATGCTTGCTTCGTTTGTTTTGTTGTGATCTCTTTATGTCTGTCGCTGTCCTTCATGACATGCTCTGATATCCGTGCGCTCGCAGGCTACGAGTGCCCTACCGGAAACGCTGGGTTCTATGACGCTCCAGCTGACTACAAGGCTTACCTTGAGATGATCGGCGTGAGCTCCCGTAAGCCCTCTGTTCTCTTTTGCGCTGCTTCCTCGCGCCTAACTCGTTGTTGTGCAGCTCCCTTTGCCAACGCCAACCCTGCCTACTCTGAGGGAGACGGATGGGCCCTCGTTGAGACCGCCCCTGCCCCTTAAATGTTAAGATGACATGTAAAGATGGGACCGTAGCAGTGAAGCCTTCATCTGGTCCTGATTGTTGATGCTCGTCTGAGCATGCTTCCTCCATTCTGCTTCTTTATTGTGAGTGCTCCTCGTTTGCTACATTCTGGGCCGCAATCTCGAGTGCTTCCAGCGCCTCGCTGCAGGCAGGGTGAGGAAAACGCCTCAGATTGTCCATGATCGAGATACCTGAAGAGCACAGCATCGTCCTCTACACCCTGCCGGCCCCGGAAAAACTGTCACTCATTGCAAACTCAGTTGAAGTTCATACCTTGAGTGTGTTTGCGATCACCAGGTTCCTCAACATGCGCGAATAGACCTTCAGCTAGTTCCATTTCAGCATCCTTATGCGGTTGTGAGTCTTTCCTTACAGCTGGGGCAGGCGACAAAAGGGATCGCCGAAGTTGTTCGGGGCTGCTATCGTCATCCTGTAACCACATTCCATCACAACATCCCCAGCTAGAGACTGAGAGTCATCACCGGGATATCCATGGAAAATTTGTCCAAAGCCTCCTCCAGTGAGAGCAACTGGGCAAGGTTTGAGGTTGAGAAATGACCAGTAGGGTAACACCTTTCCCCCGTTGAAAGGATCCACATACTTGTACACGGGTTCCGACAAACTCCCCCCTTGTCCTGTTGATTTGAACTGGACCAGGAAATGTCTGGGTGAATTCACACCTGAGAAACAGAAAGTAAGAGAGAGATCACTGTGCAAAGTGCACAACCCGTTAGTTCAAGGCCCAAACGCCAAGCTACAGCCATGTAGATCACAGATATGGTGATAGGATTGCCACGCTTCCTTTTGAGGACCTGTACCTTACTGTCAACTCACACAACATGAGCAATGCGGTTGACCTGGTGAATATAGCTGTTCATCGGATTGTAGTAGTCCAACCTATCACCCTGAATTCCAACTTGCTCGAATAGAACCTGGACTCGTTTATAAGTGATACACGTGTCATGAGCACACTCGAATTTTTGTGCACACTTTGTTCAAGGCTTGTATGATCTGGTCATCAGTTGCACTCTTCTCAAATCTGAGAACATGAATGTCAAGCCCTGTGTAGGAACTAGAGGTTTCGTTGCTCACAGATTGTTGCTCAGCTCATCCCTGACTGCTTGTGCTATAGCATCGAGCTCTATGTCGATGAGTGCTTGAGTGATACTATGATCTAACAGCGAGGCAAAGTCAGGCGCCCTCACAGCATCCACTTGTTGCGGCTTGCCTTTCACCCGTGCAATCAGCACAGCTCCGAACTCCAGTCTCGCTTCCTCCGCAGACAGGACTGTCATCCACTGCGTGACAAACTACACCAACGCATCAGCACAACATCCCGAGGGCAGTTGAGCAACCTCGTTCGAGGACAGCGACTCCTCCAACCTGACGTTCTGAGACAACTTCAGGAAGTCTCCACCCAGCTGAGGAGGATTTGAATCAGTTGCGCGCCTACCGGGATTGAGACTATCTGTACCTTCTGCATGCAGAAGTGCCACTGAGACCTGTCGGTGTGGGTATGAGCGTGAGCTATCGCTGTCGGCCTGAAAATCATTCCTGACGAGCAAGCGGCTGGGAACCAAACCTAGTGTGCTTCTTAGCCGACAAGGAGCACTGGAAGGCTGACTCATGGCGCACCTCCTGCTTCACTTCATCTTCCAGCTGCCCAGGTCCCCATGACGAGTGCTTGTAGAAGAAGCGGAAATCCTGATAGAAGCGTCTCACTATCCTGTCATGCATGCACAGCAGGCTGCACCTCAAGCTTCGCCTCCCCGGATTCCACGAGCGAGCCGGCATGGTCCAGGTCGCCGCCATGATAGAGACCAGGGACAATCAATCGAGCTCCCTTGACCGTTGCCACTCGATGCAACACATGCACTGTTTCTCCAACTGGACCCCCGAAGAACAGAGGGCAGTGCAAGAATGCTCGATGGGTTTGCGCAAACTGTACCCAACGGTTATGGGACCTTACGAAGACCACTTGGACACGGGGAGATAGGAAAGGGCAGGGATGGCAAGGAGCAATAGCAAAAGATGATACATGCGACGCTTACCTCTCCAACAAGATGAGGAGTCGGGCGGTTGTTGATGAAGCCTACTGTTCCCATGACTCCGTATTCTATCAGCACGATGATGGATTTCGAGAAATAGGACTGGCTATCTCCAAACTTCATGGGATTCGCCAGCATCAAGCAGCCTCGCTCAGGTATGGGGAGCTGGTGCAACCATAGCGAATTTTCTTGCTTCATGGCATCTGAACTGGTTTCTGTTTCTGCGACCGCACCCTCTGACCAAACCAACTTGGCCCTGAAAGTTCTCCAATCCTCATCGAGATCTGCTTCCATTCCCATTTCCTCGTTGTTTTGCTTGTCGCTCATCCCGCTCATGAGAATCCTTCTCCCACCCTCCCTCCTGCCTCTGCCCAGCCCCCCTGAGTGCAGTCTGCCCAGTACACAAGAAGCCCTCTTCGCTATCATGGAGGGATGGACCGATGATGGACAGGGCAGCATGTATGTCAAGGTGGCAGGAAGGAAGAGAAGAGAGAACAGGGCGGTGACGACAGCTGGCCTCAACACGCTGCATGCAGTTGATTGGGGCCTAAACCCGCTTTGCAGCATGCCTTGGCACTCTGAACTTCCAAGGTCTGGAGCACTCGGACCCAACAAGGTGTTCTAGATATATGTTCTAGATTTAGATACATATCTACTTGTATCCTAGATTCTGCCTTCTTACCGGAAAGCAAACCCACTACCCCTACCCCTTTTCCTCGTCGTGAATTGATGGTAGTGACCTGTAGTAGTCAAACGTGTACGGGTGTCAGATACTGGAAATGTAGGGGTAGGGGTGGTGTATCATCGAGGGGGCCGGTTGACAACAGGAAAAAAATGCAACTCAGGAGGAGGGGGTGGGGTAGTATAGTACTTCGGGTAGGTTGAATGGGGGGTACTTGAAAAGGTTGTAAAATATTGAACATTGAAATAAAGTTTTCAACATACACCTTGAATGTTTAAATTTTGAACAGAGTTTCAATTGGGGGGATAACAGCCGGCAGTGGGCGGTAGGTAGTACCAGTAGGGGCGGTGGGGGTGGTCGTAACTGGGCAGGTGGAAACCTGTAGTGAACCTGCCATTATTGTAGTCAACATGTGAACATTGTAGTGAAGATACAAGCCATGTAGTCAAAAACTAATTTCGGACCAATCGTTCAAAATCGCGGTGGTCGTGGGGGTAGGGTCATTTGTAGTCAATGTAGTGGTCTCTGTAGTCAATAACGGAGTAGGAGGCATTTGGGTCGCATGGTGGAGGTTGGAAGATAGCCGGGGGGAGGGGGGGGGGATAAGGAGCAGAGAGAGGAGGAGGAGGCAGGGAGAGGTAGGATTGATGAGCATGTAGATGTTGAAGTGGAGATGTCACCAGTTGAGCTTGATGGGTGCATTGTAGTTGGGATGGAAGGGAGAAAATGGGATGCAGGGTGCGAAAATGGTGCAGGGATACACCGTTACATTGCGAGAAAGAAGATGATGGACAAGCGGGTTGGAGGACGAAGTGTCTCCCAAGTCATGATATTGCTTGGGATGCTGAGAGGGTTCGGCCTCTGTCAAAATAATGCTTTGTAGGAGACGTAGTTGGTATGAGGGTTATTCCAAGGAAGAGTTGTGAATGGTTGTAAAGAATTGAAGGGCCCGGAATGCTGTTATGGGGAAAGAAGCCGGGCAGAGAAATGATTCCAAGCTGCTAAAGAAAGTTTTATGAGACTTTATCTTTGGGTTCAATTTAAGACAAGCGGATGAAGAGTGTAGTGGGAGTAGTTTTGGGAACTGCTGAGTTACGACAAGGTCTGGTTAGGAATGGAATGCCAATGCAATCCTCTATGAAAATGTTGCGATCGTCCGTGTTCTTCCTAGATGGCAGGCTTGGAAGGATGATTTGAACAAATCCTTGTTGTCTGCGATTTTTTGATATCATCCAACAATTGTGTGCGGACAGCTTTCAGTGTTTGACGGGTTTTCTCAGGCCATTTCTTGATCTTGATTTGGGGCTATTTGACCATTGACTGGACACTACGAACTAGAGTAACGACCAGTCTTTACTGATCATTTGTGCGGAAGTTCAGTAGGTTCTAGTCGGGTTATGTGACGTGTATTGGCGTCGTCAATTCCAAGTTGCTCCTTTTTCCTTCTCCACAGCATTTCAATCGCCTCTGTCTCACCTAGGGATCCTCGTTTTGATCTTCATCACTCCATGCAAGACATCTGGTGATCTTCGAAGCTAAAGCTGTGTATGATGATCGGAGGAAGCTAGAGGCTGAGCCATCTCAGAAGCCGAGTACGCTCCCACAGTGATGGAGCAGAATCCAAGCAAACGTGCGAAATTTCGCCAGAACCGAGGCCTGCATGGTCTTCATGTTGCGGTGCCACTGGCACGAGAAGCATCGTTCAATCTTGACTTCGACAAGAAAGGTCACACTCTTGAAATGAATTCTTGACCACATGATCTGAATTCTGTTGCTCAGGCCTTGCGACCTTCAAGTACTCGGCGAAAGATTATGCTACCGGTCAGCCAAGGGACTATGTCGTGTCCGAGAAGGGTGAAAAAGGATTTCAAATGTCAGACCTTGAATTGGGCAGGGAGTTAGGACATGGGGAAGCGGGGTGCGTTCTGCAAGCTAGACACAAGCCAACTAATCGGCTATTTGCTCTCAAGCGTGTGAACATCTGTGAACAGTCAACAAGACATCAAGTTATGCGTGAATTACAGGCCTATCGCGAATGTGGGAGTATGCCACAGATCGTGGGTCTGTTTGATGTCTTCTACGTGGAACAACGAGTTTACATGGTTCTGGAACTGATGACATGGGGTTCATTAGAAGTGCTAATTCACTCTCATAATGTTAAGGTCAAACAGAAAGGCACTGGCAAGTACGAAAAGATGCAGGAGAGTTTATTGAGTTCAATTGCCTTCTCTGTCCTAAAGGCCCTGCGATTCCTTCATGATGACCACAAGATGGTTCACAGAGATCTCAAACCCGGCAATGTGTTGCTAAGCATGGATGGTGGTGTGAAACTCAGCGATTTTGGAGTGAGCATACGAGATGCGGACACTGACTGTGTTGCTGGGACTGTCGGGTACATGAGCCCTGAAAGGCTGGACGGACAAGTATGCTCCGACAAGGGTGATATATGGGCATTGGGGATTATGATTTTGGAATGTGCGAAGGGCGTTCATCCGTTTGTGACTGGAGATTATGCCCCGAGGAGTCAAGCAGACTTATGGGCAATGGTAGTGCAGAAGGAGCCGCCATCAGCCAAAGGGTTGGGATACACAGAGGCCTTCGAACATTTCATAGACTCGTGTCTGGTCAAACTCGAGCAATGTCGACCGTCTGCTTCAGCCCTCTTGCATTTTGACATCATTCAATCGCAGGCGAACTGCGCAGAGAAGACGGTGAGAGATTTCCTGAGGGCGTTCGGGAAACCAGAGGCAGAGATTGGGAGTGTTCATCAGCCGGATTCTGCATCGTCGTTCTTGAGAAGGCGGTCGAGCGTTGGTGCTCTCTCCGTCCTCCAAGAGCTGGAGCATGACTCTCTTCGACTGCCCAAGAAATTTCCTTCCCCTCCATCCCTCATCAGCCCTCTCCAGTCACCAGGAAGACCTCCTCTGCCTCCCAAACCGCCCAGAGATCCGACGTCGGCTGATCACTCGTCGCAGACAGCGAAGGAGGGTGCAGCGTCGACCCTGGTTGCATCGTTTCTGGACCCTCCAGCTGACAGAGGCCGCAACATCTTGCCTGCTGCCAGGACGAGCAATGGAGAGCGTCCCGGACCAGCAGGGGCTGCTGGACTGACAAGAAAGTTTTCCGAAGACGGCCTGTTCCGAAAGAGCAGTCTGGAGAACGGAGTGACCACACACATACGAGCAACCATGGAGGCCCCGATGGCAGCTGGGAGGAGTAACTCGGAGGATATGATCCTTCCAAAACATTTTGTGGAGAAGGAAGTGGTGGAAGTTAGTGCGGTCTCAGACCCGCAAGATGACGCTGCAGTCGGTATCCAATGGTATGGCATGAAAGACGTGTTCGAGGGACAGGATTGCGCAGAGCACTGAGTCAGATCAACGGCCAGCCTGCGGAGGTATCGCGTTCATGAAGTCAGCCAGTGCTCAGTGTCTTGGAGAAGGAGCGTTTCCAGGTGGCTGACATGGGACAGTTTTTTGTTTTTTTTTGTTGCGATACCCACAATCTGCCCTGAGATTTGCATGATTCTTTTTGACGCTCTAGTAATGTATAGATTTTCGTTCCTCGTGCTTACACACCCCCTGAGTTGCTGCCCGCCGATCAGGCGAAGGCTGCCGCGTTCTCGTTGAGCCATGCCGAGAGGGTTCTAGCTCGGATCCCAGTGACCTTCTCGACGTCGTCGGTGCAGGGGATGGAATCAGGAAGCTCCTCCATGCACTGCAAACAATCTCAGTGGACGCTCCGGCTCCCGCCGAGGCTCTGAGCTTACATGGAACACCTCCTTCATGAACTGCGGGAGTTTCTCCATGTGCTCCTTGATGGGAACGGGCTGCACAAATTCCCCAGGTCACACCTCTACCACACAGCTTCCTCCCGCCCAGCTCCTCACCTCATATTCGACCTTCTTCCCCACGGCAGTTCCGATCGCTTCCACGATTTGGGCTGAAGTCTGGGACAGCATGAGGGCAAGCATTTCAGGAAGGAATCAACAGCGCTTACCAGGTTTTCGGGGCCTGAGACCTCGTAGCAGCAATTGGCATGCTCCTTGGCATAGTCGGAGCAGGCGATGAAGGCAGCCATCGTTCCCATGTCGCGAGGATCGACGCATGGGATCTTCATGTCCGGGAAGCGGACCTTCCCTGCCTTCACCCCATGGCCCATCATGTGAACCAGATTCTGGTTGAAGAAGCCGGAGCGAAGATGGTTCCAGGTGATCTGCAGGTACATGCCCTGAGCTTCGGCGGCAGCGAAGAGAGGCGTCTACACACCTTCTTCTGCTCTCCGAGCTCCCTCAGCAGCTTCTCGGTGGACGCAAAGCGCGAGGAGATAATCTTGATGTACTGAGACACAGCGACAGTCCAGCTCCCGACGTAGACGATGTGCTTCACGTTGCACGAGACCGCGGCGTTCACCATGTTGTGACACATCTCGGCATCGTTAGCGAAGCCGACAGCGGCATCATGGGGAGTGACGATGACAGCAACCTGCCAAGAGCAGCGATCACGCGTCAGGCTTCCCTCCTCCATGGGCGGCATGCACAGACCTCAGCTCCCTCGAAGGCGGTCATAAGCGTGTCCATCTTCATGGCGTCCACTCCATGGATGCACTCAAGGTTGTCTGAAGTCAAGAGAGCCAAGAGACTCCAGTCAGACTCTGCCGTCACAGCAACGCCATCGAACCATGCTTTCCTAGCTCCGCAAGCGCTGCATCAGCCTTCTCCTTGGTGCGGTAGACAGCGCGGACTTTGGCCTTCCCCTTGAGAGCTTCCTGCCAGTACAACAGGTGCGCAGCTATTAGAGTGCGACGAGCCCATGTGTTGCTATGTTTGTATTGCTATGCGAATCCATGACGATGCAGCTTTGCAGTATTAACCCTCCTACTTTCTGACTATCATCCTCTGCTGTTCTTTGATGTCGTGATCCCGTTGTCATCCTTCACGTTTCCAAGGCTCTCCTCCCTCCCAACCACTCTCCACCATGCAATCCTCTCCCGGCTCCTCCCTCCTCCCTCCTGTCTTCCATCGCTTCCTCGTACCTGCTGTAGCAGATCTCTCACGCATTGAGCGCCGGAGTTGCTGCTCGCGGTGACTACGGACACAAGGCGAGCCATGGATCCTGAAAGGTTTAGAGGATTAAGATTGGGGGTAGGGGTGAAATGTTGGAGGGTACTACGGTGATAAGGGGGGTCAGGAGCAGCTTTTATATGGGGTACTTACTGGAAAATTTAAGGGTTATTCAGAAGTTCAGGAGGAGAAGGGGGTGGGTCAGATACTTTGTTGAATAGAAAGGGGGGTGGGGCCTAAATGCAAGCGGCGGTCGAAACCGATGTGGTGTCAATAAAGTTCAAATAAATTCATAATTTTTGAAATTTCAAGATGTATTTTCTGTACCCACATAGCAATTTTTTCCACCTTAGTTTACAAGGGGACGTGACTGTACATTAATATCCGGCAAAAGGTTTTTCTCTACAGTATCCAGAACGTTCGCAGGAAATTGACGATGGGTGTCAACGGACTAGAACAGTGAACTGACCATCAAGCGAGGGAGGGAGGAGGGAGGAGGGAGGAGGGAGGAGGGAGGAGGGAGGAGGGAGCAGGGAGCAGGGAGCAGGGAGCAGGGATAAGAGAGGAGGGAGGGAGGAGGAGCAGGAAGCAGGGAGGGGAGGGAGGAGGAGGGCAACAGTAAAGCAACAGTGCTAGGACACAGGGAGGGTGGAGGGACGAGGAGGGAGGGAGGGACGAGGCCCGAACGGATGCGAGGGGAACTTGCAGAAGGCAAAGGAGAGGTCTGAAGAACGACTCCCGAGTCGAGTTGGGAGTGGTGGGGAGGGAGAAGAGACCGGAAAATGAAGTTCAACCAATCCCGAGGTGCATCCCGAGGGAGACAGGGTCAGGGTTACAGAGGGAGACTCAGGAACGGAAGAGAGAGGAGGCGAAACCTTTGGAGAGAGGTGGGAAGGATGAGCAGGAGGGTTGTTGATCAGCATAGTCAGGAGAGCTGCCAAACTCATTGGATCCCCCAGGATCTCAGTGCAGTCGAGCTGGGAGGACATCAGCTGGAGGGACGGGATGGCATCGAGCCCTGAGTATGAGGGCACGACAAGACTTGGATTCGAGTTCTGCTTCGAGCACGATGACGACGACTTGACGGTGACTTTCGCCAAGCCCGACGCCTCCTTGGCCTCTGAGCTGGGCACGGGCGGGCAGTGGAGGACTGGGTTGGTGCTGTTGTCCTCTTTTTGCACTCCTGCAATGTTGGTTGTCTCGTGGCACTCTTGCAGTCCTCCTGGCTCCCTGTCCTGCTCCTGCTCCTGCTCCTGCTCCTGCTCCTGCTCTTGTCTCCTTGTGCATAGGCCGTCATCCTTGACGACGAGGGACCATCCCATCGCCCTGACGCATGTGTCAGACCCAAGAGCGCGAGGCCCAAGGACTTGTCGGCTCCTAGAAGCCGGCTGACCCGCTCGTTCATGTTGGCGACAGCAGAGGTAAGTGAAGGACGGCGAGGAGACTGTCGCTCTCGGCTCGACCTTCCTCTATGCCTGCCCCTGCTACGTTGACTTGCTCTCCCCAGACTGACAGCAGACCTCACGCTACCCTGCAGTCTCCCATCACCAGCCACTCCAGCCGAGAGGTGAGGGAGCAGCGGCTAGTTCCCCCTCTTCCCTTCTGCCCTCTGTGATGAGCTCGTAGAGAAGGAGCGAGCGGTCGAGCGGCAAAGCGGGCAACGTGGAGGTCGTGGAGGTCAGGAGCTCTTCCTGCCCCGACGGGGAGAGACTGAAGTGAGTTGGGTTGCAGCAGAAGCCATCGTTTCTCATCGGGAGTCTCGAGAAGCCCCTGGCGTTCATTGATGGAGGGTACGTGCTGCCTCTGCGAGCCCCTCCATTCTTCCAGCTCCTCTACCCTTCCTGCTGTTCCACTCCTCCTCATGCTCTACTCCTCCTGCTCTTCTCCTCCTGCTCCCCCCACCCCTGCTCCTGCTCCTGCTCAGACTAGCATCACCATCAACTGCTTCTTCACTTCCAACCTCTACGTCGTTGCCCCCTCCTTCCTGTTCTGACTTTGATGGGCATGAGCAGCTTTGTCATCACTCCACGAGGAATCGAGCAAGCTCCCAAGGTTATCATCACCATCTCTACCAACTGCACCATCATCACCACCATCATCATCCTCGTCTATCGTTGTCGTCTCCTCCTCCTCATAACTTCCCACTGCCTTGGGCGCCCTCCTCTTCCTCCTCTTCCTCCTCCTCCTCCTCCTCCTCCTCCTCCTCCTCCTCCTCCTCCTCCTCATCATCATCATCATCATCATTTGACTACTTCTTAATCCACCAACACCAGCGATCCTCCTCGCTCCTGCGCTCAGTCTTTGAGCTCTCCTGCGTTGCAGGGACTTCTTCCACCCTTCTTCGCACAGTCCGGCCCGAGCGTCTTGCAACCAGGTAAAGCCGCCGCCCCTTCCACCTGATGGACCTTATCGATCTCTCCTGTCCTTCCCCGCTCCTGACTCTCCCTCTCTCTCTCCCCCTCTCTCCCCCCCTCTCTCTCCCTCTGCTGCTCTGCTATGCTCGTGTCCCTCTTTCCCCTTTTCCTCACTCCTCTCAACCTTGTCCCGCTCCTCTGCTTTCCTGCGTCTCCTCCAGTTTTCCTCCCCCCTTCTAGCGCTGCTGATCTCGTGGCAGGTACCGTCATCAAGAACGTTGGCTCGGGCATCGACTGGTCTTCCTTTGACTTCTACGACATCCATGAAGTCCCAGAGCACGAGGATAGGTTTATCTTCATGTTCTTCAGTCCTCCTTCCTCCCCCTCCATCCCTCGCTCCTCCTGCCTCATTCCCTCTCTCTTGCTCTCTGCTTCTCTTCCTCTCTTCTCCTCTTCCTGCCCTCAATTTCTCTCTTTCTTCCCGCCCTCCCATCGATTTCAAACACCATTGCAGTTGACCATCTACCTCCAACGCCCTCTCTTCATCTTACCTCCACCACCACCACCTCCTCCTCCTCCTTCCCACCCCCCGCCCCTTCCCTCCCTCTTCATCGGTAACTCCTTCTCCACAGCATGTCCTTGCAAACTCCAATCTCTCCGACTCTCTCCGCGTCCCATGGTAAGCAGGAGCTGCTGCCTGGTGGGACTTTCCTGACGAGCCCACCAGCATCGCAGAGGTTTCACAGATCCCTACAGAAGCATTCAGCTGACAAGCTCTCCGCTCAGGAGCCCTCAGGCAGGCATGTAAGTTTACTTGTAGCTGCGATGTGCCGGCGACCACTGAGTTTCTGTCTCTCCTCCTTGACTTCCCCCTCCCCTTTCCTCTTCCTCCTCTTCTTCCTTTTACCTCTTTCTCTCCCTCCATCTCATCCCGCACGGGTCTCCTCTCTCCTCCCCTTCTCTCTCCTGCTTTCCCTTCCCGTTCCCTCCGGCCCCTTCAGCCCATCCTTCAGTCTACTCTATGGAGGGAGGCGAGCAAAGGGATCGTACGCGTGAGGAGCACCGCAGATTCGAGGACGCTGACGCTGCAGGAAAGGAAGAGGGAGGAGTGAAAGAAGGGAAGAGAGGAGTGTTGAGGAAGGAGACAGGAGGGCGAGGGGAGTGGAGGCGGGGAGGGGGGGGGCCGAGGAGGGGGAGGTGAAAGGTACCGCAGGTCTTCAATGTAATGAAGGAGCAGCAGCGCTTGCGTCTCCTGAAAGAGCTTCACGTGTTGTGCATGTGCAAAGATCAGGTGGAAATTGAGAGGGAGAGAGGAGGGAGAGAAGGAGG